AAAAAAAAAAAAATTACTTTACTTGTTTGGCTAATATTCTGAATTCCAATCGAGTACAAAGTCAATATTGATGTCTATGAAATTCAAGAATATTTTGTGATTTTGCGTCACATAGTAAATACGAAATTAATATGTTAAAACTTAAATTAATTGGTTGACTAAAAATTCCTTTTTTTGTTTGGTGCAAACTAAAAATTCTAAAACTTAATAGATAAAACTTAATAAATTTTATCCATGTGATTTTTTTTTCTCCAAAAACCACCACAATCCATTATTATTATTATTATTTATTATTATTATTATTATTATTATTATTATTATTATTATTATTATTATTATTATTATTATTATTATATTAATCCACATATTCTATTAATGATAAAATATTTTATTGCACTTTTTTTGTTAATTAAGACAAAAACCGTTACATTTTATATTAGTTAAATAATAATTATATTTTTTATTCTGCATATTATAGTTATTATTAAAATTAATAATTTTATTTTACACTAAATCATATATAAATGTCGCATAAACATAAAAAATTATATCGTGATAACTTTTTGTTTAATGTCATAGCAAACTTCTTAAAATCGCATAAGTAATTGTTATAATAACTTTAATATCTTTCAGCTATTTAATAAATTTAATTATTTTGATAATATTGATGATAGTGATATTAAGTTAAAATTGTGTTAAATTGGAGTTTAAAAAAAGTGATTAGTTAAAAATGATAGTAATTTTTTAGAAAAATTTGTATCTAAATATTCCCTAAGGTGTGCTTGGATACAAATATATCCGCTGAAAATTAGGGTTTTTTTTATTTTTTTTAATTGTGGCTAATTTTTGTAAAATGTAGTAAGGTGTTATTAAGATTTTAATTTTATATTAAAATAATATTTAAAATAAAATAATTAAAATTAATTTGATATAGATGTATGATAGCAATGATGAGAAGTGATAGTTAAAGCCATGTGAGTGGATAAATTGATAATATAAATTGATGTGAGTTATATTGATAATATTGAAGATAGTTAAATTGAATTAAAATTGATTTAGATTTTAAATATGTATTGAGAACACACCCTACATTAGTAGTAGATCCCATTCGAGCAAAGACAGTGGAAAAAGAATAAAATAATAGGGATAAATAATTGTAATAAATTGTTGAATCATATCTCAATCCAATCTTGCTCTAGCTGAAAGGATGAGACCAAAATATGGAAATAAAAAAGGGGAAAATTTGTATTCTACAATTATTTTCATTCACAAATAAAAACTCAAAAAGACATTCGTATATAAATGACCTTACACAATCCAGTTCCTCTTTTTTAGTTTTTGTTTTAGTTTTTGCTCAATGAGTCGGTGTGTTGTGTCAACCGTGAGGTGGCTAGACATTAGAAATGATCAATCAGTTTCTTTTATAAGTCTGTCACGAACAAAGCAAGTAAACCACAGGCCGGTTCAAAGCTCGGGCCAAGGCAGTTCGACTGGGCCGATTCAGTCTCTGGCGATCTCTATTTGTATGGTGCCACTCGATATGTGTGCTAATGCAACACCAAAATAGAACAAAGAAGAAAGCAATGAAAATTATAGGCTTTTGCTTTGAGAATGGTGATTTAGAGTTAAGAGGAAATGTTCGACTATCACCATAACCACATTAAGATGCCCCACAACTCGTGTCAAAATCTCATGAACTTCAAACATCATACTCACAACATTGTATGGTGTTTTAATCTCCAGTTGAAGAGTGAACATGTTAACATACGTCCACCTCTATAGGCTAAAGAGCGAGATTGGTGGCCACTGGCCAAACAAAGGGGCTTGGCAACCTTACCAATACTACACATTTTCTAACTCAAGTACAAAAAATTAAACAGTATATAATGACATTAAAAAACTATATCAATCTTAAAATGTAGTCAAATGTACATAAGGGTCATGTACCATCAAACAATAATCCTGCTTGGAGAGTAGCAAACAGAGAACACAAAAGGATGATATTGCTTAATGGGTGATCAAATATTATTCATGTAGCACAGTTTTTGAGCTCCATTGATATTCAGTTAAACTCGTGAAGCCTTCGATATGTGCTCGTTTAAGCAGTTTTCTGCTGAAAAGAAAGAAAGGAGAAAGTTTACAAAAACAATGTGCACTTTATCATTCATATAATTTCAGACCCATTAGAAAGCCAGCTTTAGCTCCACTTTTAGCACTCCATGGCTACTAAAACTCAACCTCAGTATCTAACAATAGATGATCACAGCTCCAATTTCTGACCAACAAGATGGTAAAAGGTGTTGAAATCAATAGAGTTTGAAAAGAACCATCTCTATTGTTAATAGTTTTTAAAAAAAAAAATGTCATCTTGTCATGCCATAACTTGGTAAAAGAATTTGCAGGATATAAGAACAGAATTGGTACAAAATGTACATTCATTAGCAAGATGAAACTTTGAGAAGAGTTCACCATACAGTTGGATCAACACAAAGCCTGATATGTTGTGAGTTCGAATCTTCGAAATTTTCGAACTTTCGACAGATGATACAAAGACACATATCACCCATCATTCTCCCTCTATCTTTATTCCCAATAACATGAACAAGTTTGACAAACAGAAGTTGTTTTTCAGACATTTTTTCAAGAAAACAAATCATCATAATATGATCAGTTAAACAAAGAAAAAAAAAACGGAGCAAATCATACACCCATCTTGAAAAGATTGCGCCTTGCAAGAAACCTCGCCACCGGGGGCGTAAGCGCGAGAGTAATCGGAACCCTAACCGGGAAAAGCGCCTTATTAATCAGCACGGCCAGAGCCAGAGCGCCGCCGCTAGAGGCCGCCAGCTCCGCCGTTCGGTTCCTCTCCTTCTCCACCGTCTGATCAATCGTAGTCTCTAGATTGTCCGGAGGCATATCGGAGCTTTTTCCGGTACCCTTCTCCTTGCCGAGGCCAGGCAAGCCAACTTTTTCGAGCAACGATTCCACATCGACGTTGCTTTTGACGGCGACGTAGAGGCCGGTGACCGAGGCCGCCGATACCGAGACGTGTACTCCTAATCCTACTTTGCCGTACTTTTTTATTAGCTCCTTGAACCTTCCGGCGACCATTTTCCGATTGAACCCGCCTGAGGTGAACAGGTGTCGTCAGAATGTATCGGTGCGATTAGAGTGAGAAAAGGGGTTTTGGAATTAGGGTTTTGAAATATGGACATGGGTTATGGGCTTTCATCGATATATATTTGGGCTTCAAAGTCTTTTCAAATTTTGGAAAAAATCCAGTCAATGTATCATGGTTCAACCCACGCAAACTCTTTGATTATTAGTTGACAAGAGCATGTTTGTTTCAAAAAATTCCCACATTTTAATTCAATCAATTTTTTTAGCTCAACTTTAACTCAACCCCATTATCATCAATTATCCCATCTCCTATATATTAATCCAGAACGTGTGAGCCTACGTGGCTGTTTCTGTGCTTCGAAATCCTATGTGGCAAAATTACATGATTCGTTATTAGGTTTGAGTAAATTTTAATTTAATTCCAAACTAAAAATAATTAGGTTCGGATTACCATAAATATGTTGATTATTTATGGTCATGTTACATGCATTAATTGCATTTTAATATCATTCCTTATTATGACTATTGAATTGTATATGTATTTTAAAAGTTAATAAGTTTTGTATTTTTATCAGTTTTACATATGTAATAATTCAAATTAATCTTCTTTGGATGAGCTTCGATTTAACATTCATATTGTATGTATAAAAAAATAATTTATAGTTATATTTATAACAATAATAAAATTATTTTTAATATTAATTAGAAAAATAAAATTATTTATCGACTAATATATTTATATTTCAAGTAGTTATATGATATAAGTTATAAAAACTAATATAATATAACACATGTAAGTCATAAGTAACACATATCATTCTAAAATATATAGTAATATATTTTTTTTTTGTAAAAAAGTAAACTAAATTTAATATAGTTTTCTCATTAATTTTAAAATTTAAGAATAAATTTTTAACAAGCACCCATGTAATACACGGGTGTTGTACTAGTTATTATCAATATAATTAAATAATATCAATCAATCATTCATACACACCACATCAACATTAATTCACTATTCATCAACTCAAATTATTTTAACTAACCATCACATCAAACCATCTCTCTCCTACTTTTATATCAAATCTTTTTAATTATGTTATTTTAAATATTATTTTAATATACCCACTAACAACTAACTATGCCACATTTTTCAAAATTAACCAAATCAAACCAAAAAATCCAAACAAAAACAAAAATTTATATAAACAAACATACTTAAAGGTCTAGGATAGATAAATGTATGCAGATTGTAATAGATGATTTAATTAGCGATTTATGGTTTGATTAGCCAATTATAATAAATATTTTGATTAGTAAATTATACTTGTATTAGTTATTAAGTAATAACGGTTTGAAAATTATTTGTAGAAATTTTGTGTTTACACGTTGATCAAATCAGTTATTATAATATTCGGCAAATAGTTATTATAATCCTCTATATGTGATTCGTTGATACAATAAGCTAATATCCAAACATGACAAATTGATGAGTTTTTTAGAATTAACGTTTTGGAAAATTAATCAAACAAGTTTTTTTTATCAAATAAGTTAATTAATAATTTGAATAGTGTTACATCACATTGTGTCACGAACGGATTTAAACACCTTACGCCTTGAACGGTTCTTCCTTGAGCTCGATGACCTGCAATACGCCAGGAAGGGATCTCGACGGGAAACTCTCTGACGCTCAAGTCAGAACTCACTAAAAGATATATATGAGTAAAGCGTAGAATGTGTTGTTGATGAAAAGGAACATTTCACCCTTATATAGGGCTGATACTTTAAGGCAGGAGAGAGCTCTTGTTAGGAAAAACATCCAACTAGATCCTACTTCCCTAATTTATTACGTGTCTATCTTGGCGAAAGTCTTTGAGCGAGTGAATTTTTTATTCTTTCCCCTTTATTGTTTTAGCTCATGGTCCTTAGGTCGTAACTCCAACCTCCCGAATTGTTTATTGTTGACTTTTTTAGGACGTATCTAACCTTGTCTCAAGGTCTAACCAGACCCCATATTTAGGTCTTTCCTGCCCTCGGGCTACTCGACCTCGATACCTCGAGGTCGATTACTTTGTCGGGCTCCGAGAGGTCCGCACCTCTAAGTCGTGTCTTATCAGGTAGCTCAACAACTCAAGTCCATATCCAAGCCACTTAACCGAGCATCTTACCTTTGTATACACGGGAGCTCTCCCAACCCGGCCTACCCGAGCTACGTACTCAAACCGGTCTATCGAGCTACTTCTAAGTGCTATAAAACCTCTAAATGAAGTAACCTATTTTTATACAATCCTCTAACATAAAAATATAGTCTCGTGACTATAAATTTTCAAATAATTTCAATATCCAAGTCCCCACCAACGAGAATACTTGGTCCAACGCGGCATACCACACAAGACTTTTCCTAGTTGATGCAATAAACCAACACCACACAAGAGGATAGTAAATTACATCTATAACTATAGATTGCCTTCAATATGATCACATACCAAGAAAGAAAAAAACAGAAAACCATCATCAATACCAAGTATGAGCCAAGAGCCAATTTTCCCAAACCTTCCACCAGAAATCATCATCAACATCCTCTCAAGACTCCCTATCAAAACTATCATATCCTACAAACTCGTCTGCAAGCCATGGCTCGAACTACTCGAGACTCGCGATTTTGCTGATTCCCATTTATCTAAATCCCTCCCCGGATTAATCATCCGAAAGTCCACAATCGACGGCTCGAACTACACGAAAACACTCAAATTTTTCGAACTCAACGATGAGTCCGATCACGATCGACACCACAATCTCCACTACAATTTAGTCACCGAATTTGACCACGACTCGTTCATTAGTCACTACACGTGTATACAAGGCTCGGCTAACGGGCTCCTCTTTTTGCGTGATTTGAACACCAAACCTAATACGCTCCACATATGCAACCCGATCACGCGCGAATATCTCGAGCTTCGCAGTCGAGAAAAGTTCCTTTACTCTTATCCCACGAAAGTCACCTACGGATTCGGAGTGAGCACAAAAACCGGTCGATATAAAGTCGTTCGAGTCTTCCACGAATGCACGCGCGACACCAACACCAAAGCTTTATTAGACATTCCCAAGTCCGAATGCCACGTGTACACTCTCGGGACCGGATCGTGGAGAAAAATCGCGCATGATCACGCGAAATTGGAGTACAATTGTCGTTCGACCGGCGCTTTCTTGAACGGCAATCTCCACTGGTTGGTGGTGGATTTAGAGGGCACGTGCCGGATTTCTTGCTTCGACCTTGAAACGGAACTCTTTCGCACGTTTACGATTCCATTCAATGTGATACTGAATAGAAGTAGATGCCTCGGGGATTTGTTCGTGCTGGGTGATCGTTTGTGTATATGCGACAATACGTCCGAGGATGAAATCGTAATTTGGTTGATGAGGGAGTACGAGGACGAGACATCGTGGGCTAAGGAGTACGTGATGAGCAAACGACCAGATCTTGATGGGGAATGTAATGAAGTCGTTCGACCGATGAAAGTTTTCAGAAATGGCGATGTGTTGATGGCGTGGGACGATTACTTCTTGTTCTACTATTCGGAAAGAGACAAGGGTTCTAGAAGTATCGCCATGTTTGAGTGCATGGGTAGCATAGACTCGTGCCTTCACAAGCCGAGCTTTATTCCGCTTACAAACTTTCCTATGGAGAATGTAATGTCATTTTGATTTTTTGCTTGTGTAATTGAACTATTTCGTCAACTATGTTTGTCCTAGTTGCACTTACATCTTTTATTTGTTGCACTTACATCTTTATTTTCCAAGATATAATGTGACTTCTTCACTGCCAGGTGAAAGCAGGTTAAATGAAGAAAATAGAGGGGTTCGAGGGCTTGGCCTGACTGCCAAAGCCGGCCCACGGCCAAAGGGCACCTCCATTTAGGGAGCCTTGCCTTTCAGACGGCTCGAGTCATGTCGAGGTTGGCGTCTCTGTAGAGATCCATCACCGACGAGGAGATCTCATGGTTGGGGAATGACATCGCCATATCAAGGGCATCGAGTCTATAAATTCCATAGATCTCCTAGTTAGACAATTGTACTAAATGCACATATTTTCAAACTGAAATGTCATATCTTAAAAAACAACATAAATAAAAGTATGATATTTTTATAGTATAATTATGTGTTTAATAATTAGTAAATCGACAACCAAACAACCTAATTTTATTATTGAAATTACCTTTATTTTTTATCAATCTTGTCAATATGTGTATAAACTATAAACTATGGACTGAACTGAAACAAGCTTTTTATGAATAAAAAGAATTAGTTTGATTTGTTCACATCAATAATAATGAAAAAAAAAAATGGTGGTACAAATACAATACCTAGGTTTTATGCATATGTTAATTGAATATATTATATTTAAAAAATAAAAGATAATTTAAAATTTAAAGTTTTTATTTTTATCTTTAATACTTCTTAAAAAAGTTGCCATATTTTTTTATTTAATTTATATTTATAAGATACCTATATTTATTTTATTTTATTTAATTATGCAATATTAATGTCAAATCGAAGATTGTCAAATGAGATATATTTGATATATTATATATGAAAAACCTATTAAACATAAAGAAGTTATTACAATTTAAAATATATTTATAATTTTAGTTTGATTAAGTATTTTATAATTTTAAAAGACCCAATAAGTATATGAATAAAAGTCAAAATCTACATATATTTCTCCAAACCACCAGAATTTGACACATAGAATTACAAAACGCAAAAAACTGACACATGATTCGGTAATCTCCGCATTTATATAGAGGATATGGATTACATCTACTCTATATATAAGCAATTTTTTCAAGAATAATTGTCAAATTTTTGTGCTTTGTATTTCTATATGTCATTTTTAACATTTTGAATTAGTACATTAGATATACATGAACTTCCATTCATGTCTATTTGGACAATTAAAATTATAAAACTTTAGACTAACATAAATGTTAAATTCATTTTAAAACTTAGTAAGTTTTTTATTTATTTATCAAATTTTCATGTATGATAATCAAACTATTATCTTTTAACAATATTAAATTTATATTATCTGTTGAAAATATAAGATAAAGAATAATTATATATCTATCATTATGTCAATCATTGCTGAAAAAAATAAATATATTTATCGACCTTATTGTATGTATATGCATTGGAAAATTGTTATTATATAATGTGATCGACTCTTACGTGTAACTCGCGTCATTTTTAAAAATTATGTAGGTTATCGGGTAATTCCATATAAATCCCCAATACACATTTCAACTTCGTTGTCAGTCCCCTTCACTTTTAAACTTCCTCATCACTCCCTAAAGCTAATTTCTCTTTCCAAATTACTCCCCATATATATACTACTCTTATTATTATTCTTTTATTTTGATTTATTTTCATAAAAACTTGAAATGAAGCTCTTCTCTCTCTCTTCGTCTCTCTCGCCCTTTTTGTCTCTCTCAAAATCATCGACGATCGTCGTTCTCTCTCTCAAATTTTCGTCGCCAAGCATCTCTCTGAAAAGGTTCCATCTCTCTCCGTTCGTCTCTCTCTCTAAAAATTCTATTCATCGATTGTCTCTCTCCCTCTCTCTCCATGAAAATCGCCGGCCAATTCTTTGGGAAAATTCCATGGCGGGCTCGGAAAACCGTCCTACTCGCCGTTCCACATCCGAAAAATCGGCTTCTACAGTAAGCAAGGTAAGATTTTGGGTATTTTTTTCTAACAATTTTGAATTTTTTCTTCAATTCGGAATTTGGGATTTTTTTTCAAATTTTGATTTTTTATTGAATTCAAGATTTTTTAAAATCAGGTATTTGGTTGATACTAATGCATTTCGAATTTTGAGTTTTATTTTACAAATTGCGAATTTTATTGATAATTTAGGCTATTTGCATGTCTAGGGTTTTATTGATTTTGGTATTATTTTTTTTATCAATTGTTTCTGCTATTGTTATTGTAAATCAATTTTGAAATTCTTAAAAGTCCCAACA